TATTTATTCGAAACTTTATTCTATAAGCTATTGAACCATAAAGACAAAAGGGGTTTACATATAAACATGAACTAATACACGGCTTTATTTTTGTCCGAATTAGCCCGATCGGAAATGTCGGAAGGTGATTTTCAAGGCAAAGACTCCAAATAATAAGTACAACAAGTATGCATGTGTATTGTAATATATTGATCTTATTAAATTACGTATCTGTTACTGAATCTTATTATTCCCGATATCAATAACATCGGCAAATTTTTTTAGGTGTCTCAGAATTTATGAAAACAGCTGTAAAGCAGATTTAACCCGAATTTAAATTGAACTACAGCTGTTCTCATAAATTCTGGGACAACGAAAATTTCTGATACAGTAACCGAATTCGATAAGTTTTTGAGCTCGTAACTTATCCGGAATTTATGAGACAGTTGTAAGTAAACCGGTTCTGACCTCTACGCCCAATATATCTTTACTATATAGTTTAAAATTACATTTTTGTAAATCTATTTACCTTATTAAAAATGACTTTTCGGGATTGTTTACCTAAAGATTCAAACAAATAAATTGTCATAGTGACGTATCTTTCTATCCAATAAGGGCGAATTAATTATTTGAAATATATATATTTCTGAAGTTAAAAAGTAAAGGCATGTTTATATTAACATCAAAAGACCGTTTGGGCAAGATAACTGGGAAAATAAATTAGGTATTTGTACGTACGTATCACCAAATGACATCACTCTACGTATTCTATGGTCCATCTCTGTATTTCCAAATTAGAACATTAATTTATAAATATGCATCATATTATATGTAAAGTCAAATATATATTTACTAATAATTGTCATAGATCATAATGAAATTAGATTAAAAATTAAAGTGAAATCAGGCTCTAATTCTAACTCAAATCCTAAAAAAAAAAAACGCATCCTAAAAGATTTCATTGAGGCGTGTAATTTCTAATTAACATAGGTTTCAATCTGATTTCATTTTTAATCTATCAAAATCATTTCTGAATATTTATGGTCTCATGAACAAATAAATCGTTGATCGGATGAATCCGATTGGATATAATGAAATGCTCATTGATCCCGAAGTAGCTTAAAAACTAACCTCAAAATGACTTCAAACCATATTTTTACACATACAAAATAGTATGAAGGTTTTTTATTTATTGTAACAAAAACCAGAAATATATAAATTTATCATTGTAATATGAGATAAATGTGCACGTGTAATGAATTGTTTTAGAGCCTGACCTAACCCAATTTTGGAAGTTGACCTAAAATTTTGGAAGTCGGCTAGGAAGATCCAAGCAGTTAGTTCTATTCAAAGTCGGACCTCATTCAAAGTGAATGAATTAGGCAAACTCCAGACTGATTATAACTTTTACTATGTTAGAAAGTTTTTTTTTTTGATTACATTATTTGGATCTTTTGCATATAGATGACACTACTCTATAATCAATTGATTAGTGTTACCTATTCCGCAAAAGATTTATAAGACCTTCTTATTTCATTTCTTTAAACTGGTCTTTTCAAAAACTAAAAGATGAATAAAGGTCGAGTTAAGCAGGCATGCAATAACTGTCGCCTGAAAAAAATTAAATGTAATGATTCGACTCCTTGTAATAATTGTATTAAAAGCGAAAAAGATTGCATGCGTACGAAATCTTTGAACATGGCTATAGGAAGTAAGAAAAACACGTTCATGTTAAAAATTGTTAAAATTCACAAATGTACAATAAGTATAGAATAAACGAACATTGAATATGATTATAGTGTTATGGTGCTCCAAGCCACTTCACATCAAATGAGCCAAATTTGGGATGTATATAAATACTTTTTAGCCAATCAGAATACATTATATACTAATGCTGATTGGATAAAAAAATTTTAAAAAATTTTTATATTATTGGAAACATAATAGCTTTAAAACACTTTTAACTTTAAACCACAAACTTTTTAAAAAATTCTAACTGATAAATTAGATAGAACTAATGAAAAGCATTAGTTTTTATCGGTTACATTTTAAAAAATATTTAAACTTGAGATTTTATAGTTTTTTTAAAAAATACATGATTTTTGATGAGAAATGACTTGGCGCACCACACAAATTAAAATCATTTTCTGTATTATGAAAATGGTTTCTGCATTAGCTATGTATAAATTCTTAATTAATGAGAAAACTCATTTTATACTAATTTAATATTTCGACTTTTTTCATCTTTTCTAATGCGTTACCTTAAAACTTCAATGTGAAATATAGCATCGCAAAGTTCCTCTATAGCGTCGTTTTTACAAAATAGAAATCTATCTGAAGGTTAAATTCAAAATTCACTAGATGCAAATACGTTATAAATTTTTGTATCATCAATTTCGTAAACTAAACCATTTTGTGCACTAATCTAATCGTAATCCTTAATTTGTTTTAAACCTCATGTTGCTTTGTTTCTTATATTGTGAAATAGGTCATCAATCCAAGGTTAAAGGCCTGCGTGAGCAAGCAGACTTTAAACAATTCACCAAAAAGACAGTGAAAAAGAGGGCCGGGCATGCTAAAAACATAGTAGAAAACGGGCCATACCGGACTGAGGATCGTGCGGTCCGGCAACAAGTTTCTCTTTTACCATACGAGCACTTATCACATCGATTGCAAAATTATTCTATTATGTTACAAAGTAAAATTAATACTTTATTAGATAAGATATATGTGAACAATTATATTTTCTTACTTTACTTCTTTTATGTGAATTTAGGTCAACAAAATCAAATTGAAACTTTTGATTCACCATTTGATGTAGCAAGAATAATACCAGTTGCTGCAGCAGGGACATCACCAATTTCTGATATCATTGAACCAATGGTTCAATATCTATGTCCAACATGTTCAACATTCAGACCTAATATTCATAGAATTCCTAATATTGTATATGACAATCCGTATTTTAATACATTTAGACCTGAATGGACACAAACAGTTGATATATCAGATGCTTCATTAGAAGGTAAATTATATAAATTCGAAACTTAGAGACCATCAGTCTTCGATAAAATCTCCGTAGTTATGCTACAATATCAAATATAAAACCTTTTTACGATACATTAAGCTTGTTTATAACGATTAAGTATGGTAATAACTATAAAAAAGAAATAAAATAGGCAGATGAACAACACAATTTAGGCTAATTTCAGTATTAATAGTAACATTTACACGTATATTTGCCAGAATGTCCAATTATTTAGAATACAGTACAGTATAAGGAATTATTATTTACAGTTACAAAGTAATTAAAAGACTTTTACGTCTTATCATAAAAATTTAAGTAGAAATGTTAAAAAAAAAATACCCAAAATTTTGTTTTTTTGGACTAGAAAAAAATATAGATGAATTAATATTAACGTAAATAATATTATATGCTTAATGTTAGGTCCAGGAATTTTACCAGATGTGTATGCAGGTATAGCATATATTACTGTATTATGTAGGAGTGAGTCAGGTAGAAACACATCAAGCAAACCTTTTTTGGCGAAATTTTTTTAATAAATTCTATAAGTTTATAGTATTAAAAAAAATTCGGTGTTTTTTACAGACTTACTCTCATATATATGTAAATAATTTCTATCAAAATAAATACTAACACACATATATGTATATATTATTATGTAGAAAATCCAAATGATCCACGCATAAGCTATCAAAATATCTTTAATAGTAAGAAATTGTAGTCATTGTTCGAACACACTTTATTTTGTATATAGTATTAGTAAATTTTGATGTTCTAGGTTGGCTACCATTCTATGGACTAAATTCATTATTCGGTTTGTACCAATTACTGGTCACCATACCGGTCCACAATTTTTGATTTCTTTGGTTTGAATCATAATAACGTGAAACTTTTTTATCTGCGAAACATTACGATGATATTGGTCATTTCCTTCCTAATATGTCATAGACCAGCAAAATCAAGCAAATGGCTCACAAGGTGAAGTGAGAAATTGGAATCCGGTATTTGTAACTACCCCAACATTGAATCCAGAATATCTATATTGTAACCAACAATCCTTGCAAGGTAAATATAAAATAAAAATTTTGATTGACAGATATACGTGATATAATAAATTAATACAAAATGAAAAAAAATAATCCAGGTAAATATGAATTCAAGTGTAACTATTGCGTAATGTTTTTATTCAAACTATATACAGTATAACATACCGTATCTAACAATTGCGTATAAATAAATATAGATATTCCAGAAGGTAAAATATATTGGTTATATATGAAATTCTTACATTACAGCATTATTATTTATTTTAAATTTGGATTAGGTAATAGTAATTCGCCCATCATACCGATACTGGGAAATAGATATCTTATTCTACAGAATTAGAGATGCTGGTGAAATTAGTTTCACCAATTTTACAATTTAACTAATAGTAGTGAAATTATTTCATCACTCTAATTTTTATTCTTTAATTCTAATGATAATTCTGATAATGGCATTTTTTTAAATCGTTAAATTTCTATAGTCAAGAAATTTTTTGTTTGATACGTACCATCATTCAGCATTAAATTTGAATCTTTAGCTTCGCTTTGCAAATAAGCATCTTTATTATTTATCATACTTTTTCGGTTTATAATATTATTTTTAATGCATTTTGTTTAGTGATTCTAAAAAATAAAATTTCGATCTGGTTGACTAATTTTTAAGAGTTTTATATTTTAACTTTATTTTTTGATATCAAGAAAATTTATAGAATTTATATCTACAGGCCTTTTTTGAAGTTTTAAGTTTATATACTTCTTATATACTTCTTATATAATTTATATCTATGTATTTTTGTAATAATAAAAGGTATAAGATGCATTAAAATATTACAACAAAAGAGCGACAATCAAGATGCTTATTACAAAGTCAAGAAACCA